CTAGTGAAGTAGTAAATTTACCTATGACTGAGGTGAAATTCCATAACATTTATACTCACATATTCAATCGATCATTATTAATAATTTGATATGCACGGGTCACTGCTTCTCCAGAAAACAAAGACAAGACGGTCAAAAATTATTTTCAAGGATCATCTTGGATGAGTGGCCTTGTTTTGAGCTGCCATGTGGACAGACGGTGAATCATGTTCCCAAGAATTTTTTACGACCCAAACTGGACCGCGATGCTATTGACGTTATGGCTTTATGAAGCGATTGATTTCACAGTTCAGGTATGAATAGCATTATGCACAAGAGGACGAATTTGTCCGCATGATTCGTCTCGGTTGCGGTTCCAAGAAGCGAAGGACCATCGCGCAGCAAGCACGGTGGTCCTGTATAGGAAATTCTGCAGAATCATTGTGCATAGAAACTGCCTTGTAATGGTCCGGCACCTTGCCTTTCCTTCCCATAAAATATATAATATAAGATATATTTTAGATATTTTAATACAATTTTTTTAAATAACATCAAATAATTGCTTTTCTGAATGCCGCAAGCGTTTTTATCGTGAACCTGGTGGTAATTTGCAATCTTGCCACTTAAAATACCGATTGATTGATGTCAGTTCATTTTAGTGCACGAAGGTTTTAGTGGAAAGAAAGGAAAATGTGGCAATTACAGGCAAATCCTAATTAAAATATAAATAATTTTTATTCTTCTCAGCAAGCATGATTAACACGGTACATACTTTTTTAATTATTAATAAAAAACTCACTTGTTTGTCTCTTCTAATCCCAAAACGGAAAAGCATTCAAGTGCGGGGAAATTTTGGTACTTTCCGAAGGCGTCTTTTTTTATCACAGGAAACTAAAGCTCGAAAAGATATGATGCCGGTATTGTTGTCTTTAGTGTTTTTCTCAAGACTTCGTAACATTAGTTATTTAAGCTACGTGTTCAAGCAGTGAAAAAACGTAATTGAATACAATATTTTCCACGGGACTATTTTTTATCCTTTATTTTGTTCACTATAAAATTTTTCGATTATCCCAGTACCGGGGACATTGACGACAATTTTACTGTAAACTGGCGGACAAATTATTTTAATATTTGTCTCAAAAAAGCGTCAATTATGTCGAGAATCAGTCTCTAATTATGGTCAGCTTTTATACTGAGTTTGTAAAGTTAGTCGTTTTGGGTGATTTCCACATACCAGAAATATTTTTCATTCAATATGAAAGATTAAGATATCAACACACAATTGAAATTAACCACTAAGAACAGTCTCATTTCGCAACAATTATTGAATGAAACTAGTAACATTAATCTTTTATATGACGGTTATCCAATATTGTAAATGAGAGTTATCCAAGCACGCTATCTAAAAGATTGCTATTAAGATTCAATTGCACGGTCAATATCGATATTATCCTCATGGCATGCCATTATTCGAGCGAGACCTTACGACCCGCAGGCCTTTCCATGGTTAAATTAATACATGTATTAATTCAACCATGGGCCTCATGGCATGCCATTATTCGAGCGCGACCTTACGACCCGCAGGCCTTCCCATGGTTAAATTATTACATGTATTAATTCAACCGCAGGCCTTCCCATGGTTAAATTAATACATGTATTAATTCAACCATGGGCCTTCCCATGGTTAAATTAATACATGTATTAATTCAACCATGGGCCTTCCAACGCGCGCATGCGTCGCAAAATATGCGATCAGGTTTGCCGCAGCCATGCTGCATCGCTGCCCCCACACGCTGCTATATGTTCTGCTGCTCTGCCCACACTTCTCTCCGTCAACACAATGTGCCAGCGTCGACACATTGTGCCAAGCGTCGACACATTGTGCTAGCCTCAACACAATGTGCCAAGCGTCAACATATTGTGCCAAGCGTCAACACATTGTGCTAGCGCCGACACAATGTGCCAGCATCGACACATTGTGCTAAGCGCCGACACATTGTACCAGCGTCGACATATTGTGCTAAGCGCCGACACATTGTGCCAGCCTCAACACAATGTGCCGGCCTCAACACAATGTGCCAGCCTCAACACAATGTGCCAGCCTCAACACAATGTGCCAGCCTCAACACAATGTGCCAAGCGTCAACACAATGCGCCAGCGTCGACACAATGTGCTAAGCGTCAACACATTGTGCTAGCCTCAACACTCAATGTGCCAGCATCGACACATTGTGCTAAGCGCCGACACATTGTACCAGCGTCGACATATTGTGCTAAGCGTCAACACAATGTGCCAGCCTCAACACAATGTGCCAGCCTCAACACAATGTGCCAGCCTCAACACAATGTGCCAGCCTCAACTCAATGTGCCAGCCTCAATACATTGTGCCAGCCTCAACACAATGTGCCAGCTTCGACACAATATGCCAGCCTCAACACAATGTGCCAGCTTCAACACAATATGCCAGCCTCAACACAATGTGCCAGCTTCAACACAATGTGCCAGCCTCAATACATTGTGCCAGCGTCAAAAAATCGCTCCCCAGTCAACACATTGAGCCAACACATCGCACCTTTGTCAACACAACCGCAAAAAAGTAAAAATTTTTATTTTGTTCTTCAGTTACTCTAATCATAAAGATTCCCAGTCAAAACAATGTGAACAAGTCACAACTTCCTGTTCTGGCATCGAACTATGTCTTGTTCAAAACAGGGACTCAAATTCAAGACATATGGCACCAATGTCAACATCATCTCAAACACGCAGCTGGCTCGAGCATCTCGCCAAATACAGCCACTCGCTGTCAACACGTTTTTTGCAACTCATCATGTGAGTACGACAAATTAATCAAGCGCATAAATTTCATATTGTGACGATGACAGACATATTGTTGTTTTTATTCATCACAAGTCTAGTCCTCATAATATTATCCAGGTTTGATATATTATTATGTATATATAGTTCCAAGAAAAATTGCACACTTTTAGTCGTTGAATCAACTCGTATAGGTTTGCGCTCGCTATACTTTAATAAGAGACTGTCAAGCCGTGACTCGTCCTTGCCTTCATCGCTGTCCGACGAATGAGCTTTAATTGCAATTACGGAAAGCAACTTTTTCCTGAACTTTTCTGAAGCTTTTAATTAAACTAAATGAAAATTGCGAGGATTCCAACAAGTAAGAGATTCATACAGGTTCTTGCACCGATTACTTGCTTGCATTCTGTTCTTGGAAGTGGCTATGTATATTTTTTCTTTGCGTATACATTTCAAGAATATGATTACGTGGAATTTCAATTTCTAGCATTAATATTTCTTAAATGATTCATTAAATGCGTGATGTGAACATGCAATGCGATGCAACAATTCTGAAAAGGATTCTTGAGCCGCTCATTGTAAGAAAAGTGGACTCGAATTTCATGACAATGTATATGTTATTCATACTTTTAGAATTATTATCTGTCTTGAATCATGTTTATTTTTTCATGCAGTTCTTAAAAAAATAAATTTTGTTATTCGAATCCTCTAATTTTCTAACAACTCTTGAAAAATGGTATCATGACAAGCAATCCTGCCTCCTCGGTCGACAGGGTGAGGTAATACGCAAGTGTAGCCCCTAATGCGACCCTGAGTTGTTAGAGGTAATTTCCTCGGACAAACAATGCAAGCCGAGCGACCGTTTTACTGCCAATGCATTAGTTCCACTTGAAGTCGGTGCCAATAATTGTTGAGCGTATATATCAATTAGACGTAGTTGATAGAGTAGAGCATATATCAACTGCAGGCGCATGGCAGTTACTTTTTTGTACCTATTCCGGCGCCAGGTCTAGAAATGAGTCATATCTTGGCATCAAATCATATTGAATTATTATTGGTCCAACAGTAAATTTAATCGTATCAAAAATTGACTGATAAAACGGATAAGAATAAAAATTATTGAACTCGTATGGGCTGGGAAATAGCAAACCAAAAGATGCTGGAACATAAGCCCTCCTCTGCCTTTAGCTTTCTTATCCGCTATTTGGGTCTATTTAATATAAAAAAGTCATACATGTACAAATATATAGCACAAGAAGTGTCTACAAATTGCAAACTAAAAAATCCATTGTTCATACTCTATTTTTGTAGTTCTAACTGTTATTTGTATTTTTTAGATGAAATTAATTAAATAATGTCAGTATGGTCTTATTTGTTAATTCTCCTATAATACCTGCCCTTATTCGTATTCTAATACAATGAATCGCTAAAGTGAGAGACCCTGACTCAAGCTCAGATAATGAAGATAAACTACCCGGTCTACAGGGCTATCGATGCAATTTATTGGATACGATCATGACTCAATTAGGAGATGTTTTATCTCATTATAAAAAGTGGAGCTCCGATATTATAAATTTCGACGCCTACGTACTGAAAGGGCCATTTACAGTTTATTCGTTTCTAAATTCGTCATTTTCTTCAGAGCCAACAACTCGCTAATTCAGGCTATTAAAAATTTAAACCGTCTGTAAAAAAGTAATACCCCTTCTGTTCCATGAATCGTCATTCGTCGTATTCTCGTATATGAATCACTTATAAATTTTGCTCTTAAACGACGAACCTCTGTATGCCCAGAGGAATAATTTTTTATATAGAATATTTTACAATAACCAACTAACATTTTATGAAAATTTTGACATTAGGCTGCTAAAATGAATTAAAATTACCAATAATTTGCGATCGCTGTGCAGGAAACCATACCCATGATCTAAAATTCTAAATTGATCTAAATGCAGAAAACCATACCGTGATCTTTTTATAATAACAAACTAACATTTTATAAAAATTCTAACATGAGGCTAATAAAATGTATTAAACTTACCTATAATTTGGGACCACTGTGCAGGAAACCATACCCCAGATCTAAATTGATCGAAATGCAGAAAACCATACCCATGATATTTTTATAATAACAAACTAACATTTTATAAAAATTCTAACATAACATTTTACAAAAATTCTAACATGTAAAATGAATTAAACTTACCTATAATTTGGGACCACTGTGCTGGAGGCCGCCACTCAGGGTACTGCTTGGGAAAAACTTCCCGGCTCCACATTGTGTTGAGGTAAACCCGGTAAACTGTGAGCTTATCTGGGCTGCATGACTGTGAACCAAATGAAGACTGGGACGTCAAGGTGACAACCGTCACCAACATAAGCCATCTTACGCTCGATGACATGATGACAACGGTAAATTAGCGGTAGCAAAACCCCACAGATAAATCCTACTGATATTTGTCCGTAGTGACACTTGTCACCTGAAATCAAAGACCGCAGGCACTGAGGAACGACGTTACAACAAGTAATTTTCGTTGCTCTCACTCAATCATTTTTGATCCATCTTGTTCAAAGATAACTACAGTTACACATAAGCTTTGAGTGATTACAGAGAAAACTGGTATATTTTCTGTGCCGTTGAAGAGTTCGTGCGGACACAAAAGCTCGAGCGCTCAGCAGGGCCTTGACTAACAGCGCCTCTGTCTGCCTCACGTCTGGCAAGCCTCACGAGAGAACTTCACAACAAGACTGTGCTTAGCTATACGAACTGCTGCTCTTGCTGCTGCTGCTGCTGCTGCTGGTGCTGCTGCTGCTGCTTCACAGTTCACAGCGCGACCCGCACAAACAATCTAGGAGGCTGGCGATGCTGCCGTCTGCTTATGTAGTCGAGATGGTGGGGGCAGCTCGGAGCGACTGCAGCTACGGACACATACGCCCTGGTGTCTCGCAAGCTTCATTCATGGCTACTTGCTCTTCTATTATACTTGCACGCAGTGCCTTCAGTAGATTTTTAACTTTTACCTCGCCTTCTTGTGTCAGCTCTTTTTAGACTCGAGGCACGAAGGATGACATAATTTATTTTGTTAGTTTTAACGGTATTAATTTTTTTCTGATATCATTTTGGACTAATTTATTGGATTGACCGATTATTTGCTTAACCTCGAATTTGCCAACACTCCAGTTTCAAGTTGAAATTTTCGAAACATTGTACAAAATTTTACAATTATTTAACGCAAATTGTAATTAAAGATAATATATAAATTGTCAGAAATAAAATTTCTGTCCGCGTAAATGAACAAATATCGTATCAACAATTTCTAATTTTTTTAGAAGGACGACCAAATGATCGATTCCTATTCGGCGGAATAGCGATCGTAAATTATACGGATGTAATTTTCGTCCGCGGCTGAGCACCGCCATTAATAGACTCCTGGCACCCAAAGCTTTGTGGACAAAGAAATCTTATAATTTCGTTGACATTTTGTTGGGTGCTTTTGCTCTTTGAATTAAATGAGTTGAACGGGCGTGCGTCTGGCACAGAAGTTTAAGTGCAGGCAATGCCAATAGAGAGTCTCAACAGGAAGTGCGTTGATCTGAATGGCCTCCGTATAAGCAGCAGGTGCGGCCAAGACTTTAACTTACTTTGTGTGCACGTTGGGTAATGCTTCGATGTATTTTTTAGCGCATTTTCTCATTTATGGAAAAAATGCACTATTGTGCTCGCCATGTCCGTCCGTCCGTCCGTCCGTCCGTCCGTCCGTCTGTCCGTCCGTGACTTCACGTTTTCGTCGACGAGAAAATGCCGTCTCTGTCACTCACTGCAGTGAGTACTGAGTTATATTTTTAATTATAAAGTACATGTAGTTTGTCTAATAATATATTAGACTCCAATTTGAATTTTTCATTTTAGCGGAATTTATTTTTCATTTCATATCAGTTCCACATTAATTTACCTACCGTTATTTATTTACCTACCATTAATTTATCAGCCTACCGTGAATTATTCATTATCACATAATTCGAATTATTTTTAATTTATGCACTCACTGTTTTTCGTTCACTAGGCATATTTCACTATTTTCAAATAGCTTTACACAAGCACTAAAATGTTTACATATTTTCTCTTTATGCAGATGTTAGCAGGTCACCTCTGCACCAAATATACCTAATTTGCCATTATATTTATTTGACAATACTGAAATTCGTGTTCCTATGTGTGGTGTGGATGCATTTTATGCTAGAATTTCATACCATTTTTAGAAGCTTTAACTGTATCTCGCTCAACCTTTCCTTTCTACCACGAACGCAGAATTTTTCATTTTAAATGGGTTATAAAAACAAAACACGTTAATCATTTCTATGTTTTTATTAACTAAACTGAACTGTTGTGTTCTCAAATAGGTTTATCTGAACCTACTTTCAATTCATTTTTTTTCAGGGAATTAAAAAATTCTGCCAGGGTCGAATTTAAATTGTCAAACTCTACGGGAAATGCACTTCCAAAAACACCGTCACTCCACGGAGATGACGAAACGATTACGATTTCTCACAGTACTAACTAGGTTACTCGTCCATTTGCTTGTTGTTTGTAAGAATTTAGCTAATTAATCCCTAGAAATTGATCGATCATTTTGGCGAATTCTATTAATGATTCGCACAATAAATTTCTTTCAGTTTGAATGCTATGTTAAGAACAAGCTTTTAAGATATGGGATTTAAAATCATGTTTAAGCCGCAACTTTATTCCAAATTATCACAAGCCTAAAATATCTTAATTTTAATTAAAGCATCACATGGAAAAATAATGTAATTATCGGCAGAAAGAAGGTATAAATTACGCTCATCTTATTTTCGGCACCACAAAGTTTTTCCTCATTTTGATGAATTTTCAAGAAATATCTCAGGGAATTTCTTTTTTTTTTCAATGAGAGCAAACGCCATGCCTTTAGTATAGTATAGTATAGTATAGTATAGTATAGTATCTTCGGCATTAAAGAATAGGCCTGGATAGGCGTGTCGCCGATTCTTGTCCTTTTCTTGGCTAGACTGACCTTTTGACCAAATCTTTTCAACGGACGGTAGATTTCATTTGACCAATATTTTAGACATATCAGCGGATTAATTTGAATTCGGTTTGGTTCTTAATTCTTTATGCTATTCTCTTGATTTTTTACTTTTTTCGAACACTTTTAGCGTCAACAGTAAGGAACATCAAACTCATACGCTGCGCAACATTGTTTTCTATTTCATTTAAGATAATCTAAATTTAACAGAAGAACGCTAATCATCTTTTTGTGATTGACGAGTAAAACATTTGATTGAGAATTATTTCAAATATTATGACAATTTAATTGGTTGTTTATTTGTTACTCGCCAAAAATTCGTAATTTTTTGATCCAAAGTTTAAATGTATCACGAAAAAAATCAAAATTTTTGCAAAATATGTCTTCATATTTGAAAAAGTATTTCAAAAAAGAAAAGTTTTCAAACGTAGTTACAATTAGAACCCCTCACCGTAGCGTCGATTACTCGTCAATAATGCCCTTTCAATGCAAAATTTATATATTATTGTTTCTTCAACGCCGTTTTGTTATGCAAATAATTTCAGACATGCAACAAATGCAAATCAGGCCGAAGTTCCGTCTATAGTTTGGCCACAGCACAATAATTGGTGGCCATTATTTGAGGCACATTAATGCAAGTGCAATCTTTGTTCATAGACTCGGAAGTTTCCCATAGAATTTGTGTTTTTTTTTCTAACTCAGAAAATATTCTGTGTTAATTGGAAATGTGATTGAAACGAGAGAAAGATACAAGAATAGTTGTAAGGAGGAAGTTATTAGTACCTAAGCAATTTGTTTTTAATGAATATTAACTAAGAAAAATGTAATAAGTGGAACGCTGCTATTTCACAATAAAAATTAGCGAATGCTAGGTGTAAAACTGGTCAGATTTTTAGTAATTGAATTCCACGTTTATCGACCATCCACAGGGTGCATTTAATGTAAATGATTCACAGATGGTAAAAATTGACTAGATTTATTGAGTTCTTCCTGCACCCTAAATTATGTGCATAAACTCAAGTGAAATTGGAGTTTAACGCAATTTTAATTTTTTAATTGGAGTTTAACGCAACACATACGCTGGATACGCGAGCAGCCTCCTTTATATGCGTAAGAATTTAGCTCCCATTGTAATCAATGAACTTCATTGCAAAGTTGAATTTTAATCAACGCCAAAAAATTCGTTCCGGTGTATTTTTTCACTTGTGCTATCTCAACTTTCACTTTTATTCACAGATATTCATTAACAAGGTCCGTTACCAGCACTTATAGACGATTTTTTGTTTAAATATTCTTTGAGACGTTTTTCAGGATCAAAATTCATCGTAGAAATAGTATCGTTCTTTTTATTCGTGATATAACCACTCATTAATAGTATATATGAACTTTTTCCGGAATAATTTAGTAAAGATCAAGAAAATTGTATAGCTCGCGTCTTCCGTGGCACAGTTGTGAAAAATTACGCAACTATTACGAGTAATAATATTTGGATGAGTACCTATCTTATATTGCGTATAGCATATTCCGCCCTTTCGATATTTACCAATGAGTTTAATATGCCACATAAATGTTATTGAAAACGTAGCAGCGGTAACGAGAATAAAAGAGAAGGTGAATTCATGTAATTTACATTAATATTTACATTTTCCATTCACATTTACAACGTAGCAGCGGTAACGAGAAGAAAAGAGGACGTGAATTCATATAATTTACATTTTTCATTCACATTTACGAATTTTACATTCACAATTCCCATTAAGTTCCATGTAAACGTGTGCACTAATGGCGATTCTTGCCGCCAAAGTTCTCTGTCGAATGTCTTCATGATAGTGGTATTAATTAAGGCATGATACAGAGGGGCAATTATAATAGCCAAGCTCAACAATTTAGAACAAGGTGGAGTCACGTGGCTCTCATTGACTTGTCTCTGCACAACTCTTGTCTCTGCACAACTCTTGTCTCTGCACAACATGATACATCATCGACTTCGTGTACCTCATTTATTGATGTCTAGTGCCCACTCAGCCATGTTCAATATTAATCGAAATAATGGGTGCTTCAGCAGAGTTCTTCAATCATTCCTGTTAAAGAGAAAGGTGCCGTCATAATGAGCGGTTTGATGCTCATGCACGTTGCTCAAAGTCAGTTTAAATAGCAGCTATTAAGAGCCAGAAACATTAAGAACTGCAAGTGATGCCCAGCGCCTGAACCATATTGTCTCGCATCCAATAAACGTCTTTATAATTTTACAGCCATGCGGTGATAAGACTCACTTGCAGTTTTTGCCCGCATGCCATTGCATTAAGGTTGCAATTGGTGGCTCATTAGCAGGTTTGTGTTCAGTCGTCCCTGCTGCGGTATAGTGATTCTCTCACTCGAAGCTGCCAGGGTCTCCTCATGTGGTCAAACAAGCGTTGCATGCTTTAACTCTTAACTGGAGTTGCATGCTTTAACTGTTAACTGAAGTTAAGAGTTAAACCTGTCTCTTATACACATCTAGATGTGTATAAGAGACAGCCAGAAAACAAAGACAAGACGGTCAAAAATTATTTTCAAGGATCATCTTGGATGAGTGGCCTTGTTTTGAGCTGCCATGTGGACAGACGGTGAATCATGTTCCCAAGAATTTTTTACGACCCAAACTGGACCGCGATGCTATTGACGTTATGGCTTTATGAAGCGATTGATTTCACAGTTCAGGTATGAATAGCATTATGCACAAGAGGACGAATTTGTCCGCATGATTCGTCTCGGTTGCGGTTCCAAGAAGCG